TGAAGGGGCTTCGAGCCGGGGGCTGCGGGACCACGGGGGGAGAGGGCCGGGGGCAGGGCGGACTGGGAGCCCCGGGGCTGCGGCCCAGCAGAGCCCGACGGCGGTGTGGGGTCACTGGAGCCGGGGTCAGGGGTGTGGAGCTGCTGGAAGGGGCTTGCAGAGACTCTCAGGTGAGAGGCGGCCTGAGCAGTGGGGGAGCACGGAGGTCAGGATCCTGGGAATGGCAGAGGGCTGGGGAACATGTCAGGAATGGTTGGTTTGGATGGCCAGGATGGTTCTCACCAGCTTGCCTAGAGGTCAGAAGGCAAGGGGGCCAGCTGGGGACTCCCCACTGCCTCCCCAGTTGCCATGTCATATTTGCCTTGGTGTCTTGTGCTGAAACATTTCTGCCATCACTCCATTGCACTTTGAGCTGGTGATGCCATTGCCCATTGAGTCTTGTTATGTCCCTCAAATATCCTTGACTTGTTGTAGTGGTTGTTGTGACACATAGACGCTTCATTTCTCTGGCGTGACCCTCATGGTGACCACAGCACGGAAAAAGGGTGCTGGGAAGACTTCAGGGTACTCTGTGGCAGGATCTCGGATCCCCAGTGGCTGCGACAGCGTTTTGTCCCAGGGCAGGGCTTCCCTTCCAGGGTATTTCAGGGTTCTGCATGAGGAAAGTGCTGCCCAGCCTGTTTACCCATCCACTATGCTTTGGCTTTTGGTGGAGCACCAAGGCTGTTGCATTCACTTGTGCCAAAGTGTTATTTGGGCATGTTGTTGAACCAGAGCACCTGCACGGCTGTGGCTCAGAGAGGCACAGGATGTCCAGGGGACATCCAGGAACTGTCATTGTCTCTTGGATGAGGTTTGGTTGTGGAGCATCTCTGCTGTGACACTGCACAGGTGTGTGATGGGGCCCTGATCTTTCTGAGCAGTGCAGAAGGTGGTCTGTGTGTTGTGTCATCTGTGCATTCTTTGGTCTTTCAGAGACATAACTTGCAGGACAAATCTTCTTTCCGTCCCTGCTGCTTCCCTCTGACTGCAGCTGGAGTTTGTAGAAAATGGCCCCATGGCCAAGGAGTGTGGACCAGGCACAGGAAGGAGGAACACTTCTTGCTGAATCTGAAATAAGTGTTAGACTGGTTGAGGAAACTATGTTAGCTATTGAAGGGTGACACTGGAAAGGGAAATTTCCTTTTTTTCCTCATTTTTTTTGCAAGAGTGGTTTCAGTCTGGAAGGTTTTCTCAGGGTAGACACAATTGGCCTCACTCTGGGAAATTACTTTGTCAGGGCAGAAAGCTCAGACTCTGCCTGTGTTTCCTAAATGATGGCTGAACTTCATTACATGTTCTCAATACCTTGAGTCCACACCTAAGGAGGGAGTGCAGGAGTCACCCAGAAATACAAACATGAGAGTGAGTAGTTGACCAACCTCAGTGTAACTTCTGAGAGCAAAGTTACTCTTATGCCTGAGCAGCAGAAGCTGGCAGGAGGAAAGTGGTGCTGGGGATGGTAAAGGGAGATTAAAAATAAATTAAAATAATCTCCCTTTTTGCCCCCCAAGATTAAATGTCACATGGGCATAGGGGCCAGTTCCCAGCATCACAGTGCACTGTGAGAATAACTGGAGTTCCCTGCTGCGACCTTTGATGGTGATGGAATCCCTCACCAGCAGCAGGAGCAGTGACACCCTGGCCCAGAACTGTTCTCCATGTTCTTGCATTTCTGCCTCCTGTGTGATGTTTGGATTTGTGGTGTCAGGCTGCGTTTACCTTCAGACCAAGTAACCCCACATCCCGTGGCACTGGTAATCAGGGCAATCAGGAATATTCTGTCATCAGTTGAATTTTTAAGCCAGGCCTGCCTTTCTCTTCTATTCCTTTGCCTCTTGTTTCTGTGGTCCTCTGGGTTTGAGAATAATCTGAGGGACTGTTCCGTTCCACTCATGTTTAAATTTGGGCATGGAGTGGGCCATTTGCTTTGTCTGTCACTTGTTCCTTGTTTCCTTAGCCCCAGCACATCATGGTTATTCCATGGTGACTCCAGCATTCCCACTTGCTCTGGTGCTCCACAAAACTCTTGAGGAGTTTTGGAATTGTCACGCTGTTGTAGTGGCCTCCTCCTACTTTCATCACTTGGTTATTAATAGGAGATCTCATTGTTCCTGAAGTATTCTTGACACCTTTTCAAGCCAGCCCGTCCATGCCAACAGCTTCAGTCTTTGTTTTCAGAGGCCTTATTGATCCCCAGGCAAGGAGGTGCCATTGATCTACAGATCATTGCCTGAGCAAAGTGAGTTTTGCAGATTGTCCAAGACCTGGAGGGAATAAGGTTAGACCACACCCTTTCCATGAAACCACTCTTGTTTGCTTGGAAGGATTTATCCAGGAGGGTTTTGTACTTGGTCACATTCCAGCAAAGCCCAACAAAGGCACATTGACACTTTGCCGACTTACAGAGCCATTTCCTGGTATGGCCATCCTCAAAATGGAGTCTGTCCCCTTCTCCTTTCATCATCCCATAACTTCTCCCTTCTCTTTTTGTGTGCATGGTTGCAGGGCTCTGTCTGGAGCCAGGGTGGTCTCTGGGGGGGGTTATCTTGGGGGATGATGGACTGGAGGCATCTTCTTGGTTATTATGGAATTTCCAGTCTGTATGTTGATAGCTGAAGGAATTTATTCAGAACCCACAGTCTGTGGTGGCTTTTTTTTGGTGAATACTTTGCTTTGTTGTTAGAGGATAGATTTTAAAGTGAAGCTATACTGTCTTTTCTTAAATAAATTGTAAGGGGCTAAATGGAAGGCTGTAAATGCCCTGGCTCCAACTGAGGAAGCGAGGAGTGATGGTGCACAGCCGAGATTGTTGATGGCTCAGAATCCTACAGAGATGTCACTGGGGACGGGGGGACTGACTCTGGGATTTTCTTTTGCCATCAGTTGCTGTCAGTCACCCAAAAGCTTTGCTTGTTTACCTGTTTGCTCCCACCTAGACCGACCCCGATGAACAGCACTTCCGTGCACAGCAGCCTGAGGAGCAGCAGATGTTCTGTCTGGGTTGTTTTCCTCAGCCCATGCTGCTGCCTGAACTTGTGACCGAGCAGCAAATGCCACCCTGCAGGTGCCTGTGCTCGGGCTCTGCCTGGCTCAGCCTCTCCCACCTCTCCTGAGCCACTCGTGGTTCTGCCAGACTCCTTCCCTGCCTGCTCAGCTGTTTCTTTGCTCGTGCCCCTGAGCGCCTGGGTGCAGTGAGGCATCAGGGAGAAAACAGGGTGCTGTGGCTGGCTGCTCTCTGAAGGGTCTGTCCCTAAAAATGCTGTGCTCAGACATAATGTGTGGGTTTAGAACAGCTGAGGGTCCAGGTCCTTCCTTTAAGTGAAGATGTAAACCACAAAGGTTTGAGGTCTCAGCCTGGTGGGGGGATAAGTAGTGAGTGGAGTGCTGGAGGTAAAATAGATGGAATAGAAATTGAGAGGAAGGTGAGGAGGCCAGGAACACCTGATTTTGAACAGCACAGTTCCTAACACTGCCCTGAGGGGGTTCAGGTAACTTTTGCTTTGAACTTAAATGAATTGTATTTGCTGGTGGGGTAAAGTGGGGTGGAAGGGTGTTGTGTTTTTAAGGAAAGCTGTCTCAGCCATGTTTTTCTCTTTTCCTGAAGGCCTCCGTTGGCCGGCAGAGCCCGAGGGTGGTGGCATACCCAGCCCGTGGCCTGTGTCCTGGAGAGCCTGCCCTTCAGAGCGCAGCAGGTACCTCAGGGTTCACACTCCTGTTCCTCAGTCTGGTTTCCAGAGGAAACAAGGTTACTGTGATCACTGCCCATCTCCTTGCAACATCTCCTGAGCCTGTTGGTTCATTCCCATGCTGTTTGACAGAGGAAAGGCTTAAAGATGTCAGAGCTCCTGCAGGTGTCCATTTGCCCATTCTTGTGTAAGGGGTGATTACCTAAAAACACCCCCAGGTGAAGGAAGGGCTGCAGTGTGTGCACACATGTTGTGACACCAGTGAATCCAGTGAGGAGCCAGATACTCAGAAAACCTTCAGATTCAGCTTCCAGTCAGTTGTGGGACTCAAATGTGCATAGAACCAGGTTTTGTGCTGATGAAGTGACTGCTGGCACTTGTGATCTCTGTTCCCCTCTGTTCTGCCTAATCTCTTCCTCTGGCTTATCATCAAGAAGGGGTCATCCCTGGCTTGGTTGCATCTCAAGATTTGGTCCATGGTGGTGCTAGTGTCCAACTTCTTCTGATCCCTGCAGTTGTGTCAATGGGCTCAGCTGATCATCGACTGAACCTGGCTGAGATCCTTTCCCAGAACTACGGTGTGAGGGAAGAAAGGGAGGAAGATGATACTCAGGAGAAGCAGAAATCTTTAGAAGAGCTGGAGAAGAGTTTCAGTGCCTCTCAGGTAAAGGCAGGAGGGGAGGGGAAAGGAAATTACCTGGTGGATTTGCTTGTTTGCTGTGTGAAGCCCTGACTTCAGCTGTGGGTGGTCCCACAGAGAAGTCAGTGGAACACAGACTGTTCTTGGTGACAGGGAGCGTCTCTTCAGGCCAGGCACAAGGCTGGTACGGGGATTTGCTCCTCCCCTTCCTCTGCTTAAATACAGTTGTGCTGTCTGGCATCTTTCACCTGTTTGAAATCTAGAATAAAAGATAAATGTATTTTAAAAATGCCCTAGACTATCTTGCTTTGGGGTGAAAATTCCTGGCTTTTCCCTACCTTTGAGAGGTACAGGTTACAGTGGGTCCCAACCTGAGGCTGTTCAGAACTCCCAGAGTAGCAGAGTTGCCCTGACTGCCTCTGCCTGTCCGTGTTCCAGCTGGTGTGGTGCTCTTGTGGTTGTTCTCTTCCTGATGCAGCTTTGTCCTCCTCTTGCTCAGAGTAGTGAAATGCCATTTGAGGAGCTGCTCGCACTGTATGGCTATGAGGCATCTGATCCCATCTCGGAGCAGGACAGCGAGAGCAATGACATCACTCCCAACCTCCCTGATATGACTCTGGATAAGGTGAGAGCAGCTCTCTGTCTGGATGTCTGCACAGGTTGTTGAGGTTACCCCCCATTTCAGAGGGGTTGGAAGGGGCCTGCATGGTTCTGGTGTCCCAGTGAGGAACACAAGGTGCAGAGACATGAATGTAAAGTGTTTAGAGAAGAAGGGATATCTGTTTCAAAATGTAAAAACTCTGTATGAAACTTTGATTACAAGTATTTGCACATGGATGTGGGTATGTGAAAAGCTAGGGAAAGTTTGTATTTTCCCAGATGAAGCCATGGCTCCTCCTATTCTAGCTGAAGTCTGTAGAAAGTGGGGTTTTTGGGGGGTTGGGGTTTTTTTTCTTTTTATTTCAGGATCTTTGAGATATTTGCTGTGAGAGTTGCTCAACAGAAAGGGATGCTTGCTCATACTCTCTGGCTTCCATAGGAAGCTACTCATGACACTTGTTAAAGTGCTTCTAGGGAAAATAGTCTGAGTGTAGTGGGAGTGTGAGAGAGAATCAGTCTTTGGACAAGCTGTGGGAGGGTGAGGAGATCTGTGGATGTGGCCACTGTTGGCCAAAAATGCTTTTACTCTAGGCCTCACTCCCCCTCATATATTTTTTTTTAATTTAAAAATATTTTTCACTTTCTTGTTGTTGTTGTTAAAAGGAACAAATAGCGAAGGATTTGCTTTCAGGGGAAGAAGAGGAGGAGACACAATCTTCAGCTGACGATCTGACTCCATCCGTCACGTCCCACGATGCATCGGACTTATTCCCAAACCAGCCTGGCTGTATGTGTCACTAGTTCCTAAGTAGCTGCTGTTCACTTTTACATATGATGTGCAGGGGAGGGTGAGAATGGTTCTCTTAATTTTGTCAGTCTCCTGACATCAGATTTTCCACTTTTCCTCCTGGTGGCTGTCTGCATGGCAGAGGCGTTACCGGGCTTTGGGTAGGACAGGACAGGACAGAGCGTTGATGAGCAGTGGGATGAGGGGAGAATTGTCTTGAGCTGTAACTCAAAATACTGAGAGAGTGGGAATTGTTTTGCTGCCTGCTGTAATTGCAGTCTGAAAGATCAGTACCTCATCTGACGTCTCTATAAGTGAATAAATTCAGTAGTAGTAGTGGAGTGATGTATTGTGGCGGTTCCTAAATATTGGAATATGTGGGAAGCCAAAGCACGTGACAGGGACTCAGCATGAGGTGATGTTATTCATGACAGGGACTCAGCATGAAGTTGATGTTTTTTCTTCTGCTGTCTTGAAATATTAAGGAGTCTGAGCTCCCCAGGTTGGCCATCCATGTGGCAAGTGTGCAAATTCTTTTACTTAAAGTGAGAAAATTAAAATACAGATAAGTTGTTACTGTAGACCATGCTGGAAGGGACTTTAGGACAGAAAAATGAAGGGAAGGAGTGGGAACATAAAGGAATAGAATAAAAAATTCGTAACTACAGATCTTTTCCTTTCCCACAAAGCAAACAACTTCCTTGCTGATGAAGACAAAGAGCCATGTTCATCTCCATGTGCTTCCTCCATGGCTGAGGACTCAGAGGTGGATTCCATCCCATCCAACGAGTGTAAGAAGGTAAATGACCTGAGTGCATTGGGAAGGGGGGCTCCTGAGTTTCAAAAATGCACGACACAAAAGCACTGTGTTATTTCCCCACTTGGCTTCTTGGTGCCTTGAATTTTGTGGGCAGCAGTGGCAGATGTGGGTTACAAGACAGGTTTTTAATACAATCTCAAAATCATCTTCTGCTTCAGATAAGGGAAGTCTGTTGTGCCTTGGTAAATTAAATCTGCAGCCTGTGGCCCTTTAAAGGTGAAATGCTGTGCAGTATTCCCAGCAGGATTTACTGAGGGGGAACCATCTTTCTAAAAAGAGGAGCAGCCTTCCAAATTCATTCTGGCTGTGAAGGTTGCAGGAGAACCTCTGCATTGTTTTATTTCCTACCTTAGCTGCTTGCCATAGATCTTTTACATTAAAACTATGTAAATGCTGAAGGTCCCCACAGTATCATCTGGTTGGTAGTAAATCTTCTTAGTTACCCTATAAAATACTCAGGGTTCACTAGAAATAATAGTGACAGAGGGGGCTACCAGTAAATAAATCAGCCTTGTAGTGGTGTAGTCCCTAAATCATGAAGTACAGCCTGTGTGGAGTATTTCCCATTTCAATTTTCTCAACTCTCTGTTGTGGGATTTCAGGAGATCATGGTTGGACCTCAGTACCAGGCCACTGTTCCCATCCTCCGCTTAAACAGGCACAGGCAAAAAGGTAAGTCAGCCTCTTCCTTGTGCCTAGTTTGGGTTTAGGGCTGCTGGCAGGGGTGTTTTATGGGCTCTGGATCACCAGTCCTGCTCTGTATCTGCCAGCTTGGCAATTTTCAGTGCTGACATTCAGATTTATTAGCTGAAACAAGGCCCAGTTAATAGGGCTGGGAACACAGGTACAGAATTGGTGAAGCTCATTGAGAACTGGGTTGGTGTGACGGGTTTGCAGGAGGGGGTCTCAGCTGTAGCCAAAGAGAAGGAACACCCATCTGGAGATGCTCTGATTTATTCCCTCTGACATCTTCCTTAAGTAGGGAGTTAGTGTCATTCAGTGCTCCCTGGATCTGTTTCTGATTTTGGGATGTCTGCAGAGTAGACAGAGGTGCCTTGATTTGCAGATTGTGTCCAATAATGAGCGTAGTATGAATGCCAGCTTGTAGAGCTTCTGGACAAGAAAGCTAAAACGGTCTTTATTTGCCAGGATTAATTAATCAAAACAGCAATCTTTGAGAACATGATAACAAAAACTTTGTCAGCCAACCTTTCTGAAACAATGGAAGCAAGCTGAGCCCATGCCAAAGACCCTTAAAGAGATATAAAGAGCTTATCTACCTCCAAGATCAGTAGGGAAAATGCAGATGTTTGCCATCTCTAGTGCTGAGTTGGAGTACCAAGCAAAGATTTCCTCCCTCCTCTGTCTCCCCCATGCATGTCCGTGCAGACCACTTCTCAAAAAGCAGCAGAATTCTCTGTTTGATTATCTTATTTCAGTGCTTTTTCTGTTAGCCTATGAGAATGAAGATCAGCTGCTTTGGGACCCAAACATCCTCCCTGAGAGGGAGGTGGAAGAGTTCCTGTACCGCGCTGTGAAGCGGCAGTGGGACGAGCTGTCCGGCAGCAGCCTGCCAGAGGGAGAGGTGGTCAAGGACAACGAGCAGGTGAGCTCAGGGCCTCCTGCAGCCCACACAGACCCAGGTGGTGCTGGTACAACAGTGCCATGTTCCCTGCAGAGGTCAGAACAAGGTCAAACTCCAGTGATCCTCATGGATAAGTGAGGGTGTGTGCCCAGCTGCGGTCTGGGGAGGTTGGTTACCCTCCCATGGGGAAGACTGGAAAAGTCAGCAGATCATTTCAGAGCAGCTGTGTTTACTTCAAGCTAGCCAGGTTAGATTGTGGTGGAGCTGCATCTGTCGAGTCCCAGGGTTTGTAATCCAGTCTCTTAAAAAGTGTGGTAGTCTCTGCTGGTGGTCAAGCTGGGCTTAGCAGCAAGGTGGCTCCTGGGAAATAGAAGTTTTATGAGACAAATGTGAATCGTGAGCGGGCTGGTTTGTGGTGTGTTGCTCAGGTACGTGCTGTGAGTGATTTCCTTGTTTCCCAGGCTTTGTATGAGCTGGTGAAATGCAACTTCAATGCAGAGGAGGCACTGCGGAGGTTACGGTTCAACGTGAAGGTTATCAGAGGTGAGGACTCCCTTCATTTGGGTTCATCAAGGCACGTACAGCTCTTTCTAGATTCTGCACATCTCCTCCATCTCTTTCTCTCTGCTACAGATGAGCTTTGTGCCTGGAGCGAGGAAGAATGTAGAAATTTTGAGCATGGCTTTAGGGTCCATGGGAAAAACTTTCACCTTATCCAAGCAAACAAGGTAAGGCTGCTCCCCCCAGGTCAGGAGCAGGGGAAGGAGGCAGGTGCTTGGGCACCAGAGGCGTGCTTTGGGCCTCGGCTGACACAGGGAGTTCAGGATGGCCGAGTTCCAATCCCAGGCTTTGTGTTGACTCATGCCAGCAGGTGATGGGCTGTTCACTGCCCTGCTCTGCCTTATTTTCCAGGTGGGAGAAGTCACAAACACCACTGACCTGCATGAGTGATGTCAGTTAATTACTGATTAGCCCTTTCTGGAGTCTCAAAAGTTCTTTCCAAACTCTCAGCCCTTGCAGTACTTCTGTGAATGAGTGAGTTGAGCATGTGGATGTTTCGTAAAGTCCCCTGGGGTCCTCTAGAATGGCAGATGCTGTTGTAGGGAGAGCTGGGCCCCGGGACATGCTGCTGTGCTGGGAGTTGGCAGAACCAGAGAGTCCAGTTCTACCACTGGTTAATTGTAGGCATGTTGACGCTGGCCAGTGACAATGGATGCAGGTTTGCTCTTTCTGCTAAGTGTGCTGCTGCTGGAAGCGCAGGAAAGTCCTGCACGAGTGTGTGTGGCCCACACGGGTCTGTGACAACAGCTGTGTGCTGTGGGGAGTTCTTTCTCTGGCCACCTCGGAAACCTCAGTACGTGCTTCTGTTCTGCAGCAATGTGTCCATAGCAATGTAAATCACTGTAATGCACTTTTAATTCTCTGTGCTGGTTAAATGGGAAAATAGCTCCTTGCTCCAAGAGATGCACCTGGATGGGGGTGGGATGTACTGACTGGGGTGTTTCTCCTCAGGTCCGCACCCGGTCGGTGGGCGAGTGCGTGGAGTATTACTACATGTGGAAAAAATCAGAGCGCTATGACTACTTCACTCAGCAGACTCGTCTAGGAAGGAAGAAGTACGTCCTCCACCCTGGAGCCACGTGCGTGGAATATTCTCACACTAAAATTAGTAATATTAACCTCCCAGTGAAGATTCCTGCTGCAAAGCACCTCCGCTTAACAGACTGCGCTTTCTTCTCCAGAAGGTTTCTCGGGTGGGAGGATGGAGGGATGCACGGGGTGTTCTCACAGCACAAACACTAAGCTGGTGTGGGGAGGGAAGATAAAAGAACTGTTTGCTTGGATGTGGACTTTCTTGTCCTTTTCTGTGTGCTGGAAGTAGTTTTGTTTCAGACAAATGCATTCACAAACGACTGGGGACAGGGATTCAGAGCTGACTTCGGTGAAAGAACTCAGTTTGATGAGGTTTTGGGAAGGGAGCTTTTTAAATTCAAAAATGCACTTATTTCTGGTGGTTTGGATCCTGAATTAATTTCCCTTTGAGGCAAATTCTTCCCTTTGAAATGTATGCTAATTACAGAAGGTACTTTTCAAAATACACCTTTTCAAAAAGGTTGAAACGGAAATCTCTTAATAGGTCAAAATGAAATATTGAAGCTGAATCAATTAAAAACTCCAGATGAAGGCTCAGATTTTTTTTTTTTTTTTTTTTTTTTTTTTTATTCTGATGCAAGACAGGAAAATACCCGAAATATTAAATCTTCTCAAGGTGGGAAAATATGTTCTCACCATTTGCTCTTTGCTGGCACACTGAGGACCCACCTGCAGTCACTCCATGGAACTGGGTGTTCTCTGAGCATTTGAATATTTATTTCCCTTTGGAATTGGCTGAGGCTCACAAAACTGGGGGCAGAGCTCTTTAGGAAGCTGAAGAGCCCATTTTGGTTTATCACGGGCTTGGCCACACTGTGTTACCTGAGATCACCTCCTCAGGGCAGAGTCTAAACCAGGCTCTGCAGAGCAAGGAGGGATGGACATTCATTCTAGTGGTGTCTCTGCAGTCCCATTGCTTTATTTGTTGATGGGTTTTAATCCCAGTCACCTTTTCTCCTGCCTGCATCTTTCTGCCTAGCAGGTGGTGGCAAGGCTCTCTCTCTTTCCCTACAGGGATTTCACTGACAATGACCTGGATGGGGTTGAAGTGGAAAACACGAGTCGTTCTCGGAGCTCCCCACCAATTCCTTCTGCAGCTGGCTGCCTGGATGCTCACTTTGGTCAAGATCAGATACCAATTGAGAGCACAGGTAATTCCTTTTTGTCTGTCTGCCATGGGGTTTTGGTTTCAGCAGAAGAGTCTCTGCATTGACTGGGGATGACTATAAAACAGTTGTTCCTGTGTTGGGCTTGGAGGGGTGGCCTAGGTCATTCCCAAAACAAAAGGATTATTCACTGGGCACCTGAGTGAGGTGCTTCCAAAGCACTGACGCAGGCAGCTCCTCCAGAGGCTGGGTTAAGGCCCCCAAAGTCATGTGCAAGCTGCTTTCACACAGAGCTGGCTGTGAGAAGATCTGCAGGGAGCCCAACATGGGTTCATTCCCTCACTGTCCTACTACAGATGAAGGCTTTGTGTGGGCAGCTCCCAGGGGTTGTTGGCACAAGGGGATAGGATTTAGGGTTTGGCTTATCTTGCAGTGTGTCTGTGAGGTTTCCTTTAATTTCCATAGAAACACTGATGGCCTCCCATCTGCTGTCGGCATCTTGCCTTCCCTCAGTACGCGCTGGCGGGGAGATCTCGGTTGCTGTAATAAAGCAACACTTGTGCCATCAAACAATTACTGTAGGGATTAGGTGGGACTGCCCTGGGTGTTTGGGTGTTGTGAACTCACTGTGGTTTTCTCTCCCTTGCTGTGTCCCCTTCTCTTCCCCCCTGGCTGTGCCCACCTGAGCAGAGCCCCTGAGTGTGGAGAGCACGGCCTGCAGCCTGGGCAGCATCAGCGAGTCGGGGCAGGGCTACGAGTGCAGCACCCCCTCAGAGACAAACTGCTCCTTTGACCCCTCGGAGGAGACGTCCTCGGGCGCTGTCCCTGTGCCCTGCCCACGCCACACTGGCACCCCCTCTGAGCCGGAGCTCTTTGCTTTGCCGCCCGCAGGACCAGGACTGGCAGAGAAGCAGGAGACGTTGCAGAACTCTGGTGAGACAATAACCATGGACTTCACTCTCCCTGCAGACATTAACGAGGGGTTGCCTTTAATTGCTGGCCCTGTGGATTTGGACAGAGACCCTGAGGCAGTGGTGGCCCCTGCTCAAGTGTCCTTATCGGTCACAGATTTTGGTCTCATTGGCATTGGAGATGTAAATACTTTCCTGACTGCTCATCAGGCTTGCCCAGCACCTGTGGCTCGGTCAGAGCCTCTGTCACAGTGAGAGTCTCCAGTCACAAATTTGTCACAGACCCAGCAAGGACTTTGACCTGACTGAGTGAAATTCTGGAACTTCCACTGTCCTGTAGGGGCAGTTTGGAGCTGTTGGTCGGAATCCGTCTTTCCATCCTCCTTGATCCAAGGCTACAGTGAAACCAAACACCTTTCTGCTCCAGTGTATCCTGATACAATCGTGCAAAGTGGTGGCTGGCTTTCCTGAGTGGGGAGGTCCATCACCCCCCTCCTACGTTGACCATGTGTCACCCCAGGTGATGCCAGTCCGCTCAGAGAGTCCCTGCCTCGGGACAGGGGACATGTCCCTTGGTCCCAGTGGGACAGTCTGAGGGCAGAGGTGCTTTGAGAAGAGGGATGTGTTGCCATCATGGTGAGGGTGCAATCTGGGGGTGCAAGATCTTGGGAGTTTCCTGCAGAGATGGGCACGGTGATGCCAAGGGAGGCTGATGAGTCTTGGCCCTTCTCCCCCAGGCAGAGTGTAGGAGCCACTCACCCTGTCCTTTTCCCAGCAGCCATGGGTCATGACAGGCAGGCACCCAACTGCTTCCCCCTCCAGCAGCCACGTGTTCCTTCCTCCACCAGCTGCAGGTGGGACGTGGCCTGGCCCAGCCCTTGGGCAGAAGTGTCAGGTCTTGGAAAGGGATCCAGCATCGTGTGTACTCGAGTCCTTCTCACCTTCCCGTGCCGTGCTGGGCCAGGGAGAACTTCTGTGGGGAGTTACAGGAGTTTCTAGACTCACAGTGATGCTGGCCCAGAGCTGTGGTGCTGCTGCTGGCAGGGGATGACCTGATCTTCACTAAGACACAAAGAGGGTAAAAATGTGGGTGAAAACACCTGCAACTTCCCGGTTTGTTCCAACAATTTGTCAGCAGAGGGAGGAGGCTGCTTAGCTCCCAGGGTGTGAATCCTGGGATATGAATGCTAGCACAGTCCCAGGCAGGGGAGCACAGCATCCCTGGGCATCCCTGCCCCTCCCTGTGTCACAAAACAGGCTGTTCTGAGAGGAAAGTGTGGCTTTTCTGCCACATTCAGGGAGGTGCGAGGTGCTGTGCAGAGCCATGGGAGCCTGTCCTTGGGTGTGCTGGAATCCAAAGCTGCTTCACTTCCCAGGTGTGTTCCAGGACTGGGCTTGGCCACTGGCTCAGTGTGTTCTCATTCCCCTTTTTCCATGCAGGAAATGCTCTCCACTCACCTGCTGGGCAAGGCTCTGGTGCAGATAGTCCTTTTTTCCAGCTGTGTTCTTACATTGAGAAGGGGCTTGGGTTGAGGGTTTTTGCTTGTTTTGGTAGAGGCCTTGGGGCTGTGATTGTGCACTTGGCTCTGCTGCCAGTGAATTTGGCAGGTACCTAAACCCACAAGCCTGCATCCTCCTTTTACCTGGCCCTGGGAAGTTGTGCTCAGCCCTGCAGCAGGAGCATGGAGACAGCATCAAACAGCTCCATGGGATGTCAGGATTAGACCTGATCTCATCTCCTAAGCCCCAGATCTGGTTTGTGTGCTTTAGCAGGGATTTGCTTCGGTCTCCAGCTCTGTGCTGGGAGGTACTGAGCCCCAGGCACATGCAGCTGCCTTCACCTGGCATGGCTTTGTCAGCCAGATGTGGTGGGCAGGGGCCTCTCCTCCAGCTGCTCCCAGCTGCTGGGAACAGAAAGCAAACACGAGTGCCTGATCCATAGTGGGACTGCCCAGGCTGTGATTCCCCTTTTCTGGAGGTGAGAGGACTCTCCTTGGCTGAAGGGAGGAGAGGAGGCAGGGTGAGAGCACAGGCAGCCCTCCCAGGGAGGGCCAGGCCTTGGCATCTCCTCCATCAGCTGAGAACATTCTTATTTTCCCTGAAACCATTTTTTCTTTTGGTTTATTTCAAGCCCTAGTAAAAGGAGAGGGGAGCTGGCTGAGGCAGAAATCTCTTCATGTCCTTCAGTGTTGTTTACAGATTTGCATGGGGTCTTTCAACATGAGTGCGGCGCTTTTTCCACGTAATTTTGAGGAGAGGGGTGAAAAAGGCTGGAACAGGGAGGGGGAGTCACTGGGGGAGGAGGTTTGGTTCTGGTTTGTTTTTTTTTTCTTGGGGTTTTCTTTTTTCCTTCTTACAAAGCACATTCACTTTGAGCCGCTCCCAATGCTGGACTCTTTTCTCCCTCGCCCCCCAGCCCTACACTGTGAAGTGACACTGCCTTGAAGACCCCTCACCATTATTTATTTAATTAAAAACCTAATTTGAAAGTGAGCCAGAAGTCTGTCTTCTTTTTGGAGGCCAAGATGACACAGTCCAGTGTATAATGATGGCAAAGCAAGAATAGGGGTCCCTGCCTCTGCTGTCTGGTGCTCTCCTGCCATCCACAAGTGCTCTCCTCCAGGCAGGGTAGGATTCCCTGTTCCAGGGAAGCCATCCCAGCCTAGGAGGAGGCCCAGAGATTTTCCCTTTCAGGACTGCAGGTGGAGGGAGCTGTTTGTTCCTCTTGCAGGTGCCCCAAGTCCTCTAAAACCCTGGCAGCCTTTGCCAGCTCTGGGGTGTTGAGAGACAGGGGTGCATCCAAACTTCAACCAGAAAAAGCTCCTGGAGGCAAGAGGAGCGATCCTGCTGCAACTGCATCGTGTTTCCCCTCCACACAGTCCCTCTGTTCCATCACAGAATCCTGAAATTCTCTTCTTGTGCCTGGCTCTGGCTGTCTGTCCCGGGAGCCTGAGGGCTCCAGCTGTGCAGCCCCGCAGCTCTGCCCCACAGCGGTGAGTACCAGGGTGGGCAGGCGGGCACAGCCCAGGGCAGGAGGGATGGGAGCGGCTCTCCTCCTTCCTTCGAGGCCCCGAGGAGCAGCGGGAAGCGCGGTCCCTCCCCTCACTTGCATCCTTTGACACAAAACAGGTTTCAGCCCTGTGTGACCCCAGCTGTTTCCGAGGTGGTGAGAGCAGCAGGACCGGAGCCCCTGAGATGTGCAGCCCCCCGGGCGAGGGTCCGGGCGGGATCCCGCAGTTCCTGGGCTCCGGGGCAGGGTCCGGGCCGGATTCCGCAGTTCCTGGGCTCCGGGGCAGGGTCGGGGCGGGATCCCGCAG